TCTCCAAATTTGCCAAATACATATGGACTAAACATCGTGAATGTAATTCTTACTTGGTAATTTTTCTTATTGTATATAGTTTTACTAAGTTAAAGTTAAAACCTTTCCTTTTTATTTAGACAAAAGGGGGAAATGTTGTGAATATTTGTATACTATGTGAAGATGTATTGCTGTGATTGGTGTAATAAAAAGCTGAATGGCCAATAGCCAGGCAGGAGGTATAGGCGGGACTTCTGGGGAGAGAAAGGAGGAGGAGGAGGAGTCAAGGCACACAGGAGATACCAGGAGACATGGAGAGGAAGCAGGGGGTACCAGATGTAGGAGAGGTAATGTCACGTGATATAAGTGGATTAATATAAATAGGTCAATTTAAGTTATAAGAGCTAGTTAGGAACAGGCTTAAGCTATAGGCTGAGCTTTCATAATTGATAATAAGTCTCTGTGTTGTTATTTACGAGCTAGTCATACAAAGGAAAGTCTGACTATGCAGCGGAGCTCAGAAAATAGGCAATATCTTCTAATCTAGCAGGGCCAGGATTCAAGCCTGACCGAGTTGTGGGGCAAAGTTTGCCATAGGCTCACACTTTCTTCCTGTGCTGCTGAGAGCTGCTTGGAGGATGCTCTGGGTGATATGCTCATGTTCAAGGAGATGAACTTTACAGTTAGAGTTGGAAATAAATGTGTATGTGAAGTTTGTATTCGTGTGTGTGTGAAAAGACAGAGAGAGAGAAAAAAAGAGAGGATTGAGCATTAGAGCACAGTCCTAAATTTTAGTAAATTTACTCCCAAAATTTATAAAAACTTTCATATGGACAACAGGGCTGAGAGTTTATCATCTATATGTTCATCCCTCTATCCATCTGTGAATGTGACTTTTTTGTTTTCTTTGTGTGTGTGTGTGTGTGTGTGTGTGTGTGTGTGTGTGTGTGTGTGTGTGTGTGTGTGTGTTTGGTTTGAGGGTTGACTTGGGAGCCTTGTGCATGATAGGCGGAACTCTACCACTAAGGTATACCCCCATCCCAAATCTGTTGTTTGGGAATACATTTGGAAGTAAATTGAAGACACCATATTGTTACCCTCAAATTACTTCATGTCTAACTAAATTTCAATGTTTCTTTTCATAACTTCATCTGATGCATGATTTACATGCAATGAAGTGTGTAGGTCTGGAGGGCATATTTGCTGAGTTTTGATACATCTGGGGACCTGTGTAACCCAGTCTTAAGGTAAAAATATTATATACAACATTATTATAAAATAGCAAGGTGGGAATGGTGATGCACACTTATAAGCTAAGCATCCAGGAGACTGAAGTAGGAGGAGCGAGAGTTTAAGGATGTACAAGACCCTGTCTCAAACACACACACAGGGATGAGCTATATGCACATTGCTTTAAGATCCAGGGCTTGTTTTTGTTTGTATGATTGTTTGGGGAACATAGCTTCACTCTGTAGCCCAGGCTATCTAAAAACTCCCTACAGGCTCAAGGTTGGCCTCAAACTGTTGGTCCTAGAACTTCTGGTAATCCTCCTGCCTCAGTTGCTCCAGTGGTGAGTTATAGGTGTAAGTCACTATGCCCCACTTCAAGCCTTCTCCCAGTCCCTCTGACAATATGTGTTTGGTATTATCTGTTTGGTCAAATTCAGTCATTTTGGTAAATTGCTGAAGAAATGTGGGTGGGATAGATACCTCTCTAGCACAGAGGACAATCGGTAGTTCTTAGATCTCACTTGGAAATGTGTCACACTGGCTGCTGGGTCTGGCCTCAGCTGTCTAAGTACTGCTCTGATGTTTCCTGGGTGACAGATGGAGGTGCTCCAGGCAGTACCGATGCTCAGGCGAATGCTCCACACAGTGAGCTCCAAGAGGCCTTCTTTGTGTGCCTGGGATCCTCAGCTCAAATCTTTCCACACTGCCCAGCTTTACGTCTGTGTTAGAAGAACTTCCACCATTTTTCTTCTTTCTCAGAGTTCTCGCCCAGCATCAGGTTCGTATCTCAAATGTTCAAAGAGGCAAATTCCCAGTAAAATGCAGAATAAACAAGGTTGAGGACTCACCTTTCTTTTCTACCAGCACTGCTTGGCTGGCTCCTTCGGAGTCCTGAAGAGCTGGATAAAAAGGGCAAGTGAAGGGTGTGACGAAAGGGCCATGGGCAGAGCTGGTGAAGGGTCCCCTCCTTCCCTCTGACTAATGGATTTGAGAGGCTCAGTTCCCTCACTTGGAGAGTAAGACTGAACACATGCATTGCTATACATTTTTGAAATTTCAAACCTAACTTTGTATTTTGTTTATAATTTCAGAAATATTTCTGAAGTTTTAAGGTAAAGATTCTTAATTCATTTTCCTTTAATTATTTGTTATTTTAATACTTCCTATATCCCCTCCAGTAGCTTCATGGTACTCTGATGTGTTCATGGCAACAGCCCTCCCCTTCCCCCTCCCCCCTCTCCCTCTCCCCTTCTCCCTCTACCCCTCTCCCCTCCCTCTCTCCCCCTTCTCTTCTTTCTTACATTGTTGAGATACGGCTTCATGAATCCCAAGCTGGTCCTAAACTTGCTGTATAGCTGCTAAAGATGACCTCAAACTTGTAAAACTTGTAAAAGCCTTACCTCTGCCTCCCAAGGGCTGAGATTGCAGACATGCTCCACCCTGTCCCTCTCTCCACTGTGCAGGGGCTCGAACCCCTGGCTTTATGCATGCTAGGCAAGTACTCTACCAACTGAACTATGTCTCCAGCCCCAGGTCTCTCTTTCATATTTTCACAATTGCGCCCTTGACTGTATCAGATGCCTTAGTAGCTCATGATGCTCGCTGGGTTCCTAAGTCACACTGGGACATGCTGGATGAGGTGGGACTGATCTTGCATTTGCTTTGGGGTCCTCCTGGACAGACTGTCTGCATTGCAGCTGACACTCCCGTGCTTTCATTGTCCGCCTACGCTTGTATTTCATAATTGACTGGCCGCAGTAAAAGAATGTTTAAGGCGTGCTTTGTCTGCAGGCAGTAATTTTGGAACAGGAAGGAAGGCGCTGGGATGGCTGAGAGGACTCACTTCAGGGCAAATAGCCCAAATCTCAGTTCAAACAAGATAAGGGCTGCAGAGATAGAAGCTGCAGATAAAGGTGTTTTCCCCTGGACTGCTGTTAATGCCTTAAATGTGTGGGAGATTTCCCTGGGCTTTCATCCCCCACGGTCCTGGCAAGACAAAGTCTCTTGGTTACAGAGGAAACCTTTGACTACAGACAGCCCTCGGTCCCCAAATTCTCTGGAGCCATAAGGTTTCAAGCACAAAATTCTTGAGCAAACACACCCGGTGCCTCCCGCATGGATGTGATGTTTGCCGCTAAGCAGAGAGCTTTACAGATGCTGCTGAAGGTCAAACCAAGGTAGAGAAACCTCAACACAGCACGGAGCATCACCCAACTGCAAACTAATTGGGAAGGAAATGGTTTCAAACCGACAGACTGTGGCCTGATAACCGAAACCTCATAGGGACAAAAGGTTCCTGTCATTTAAAGGGGTAGCTTTGCCTATTTCAACTGTGCAAACAAAAGAAATGAAAACCCCTCACGAGCTGGGAGTTCCATTAGCAGATATTACATCCTGGCTTTTATGCCCTCCTGTGTCACAGACCCTGAACATGTGCCATGTGTCCTCAGGCACTCATTGGTTAATTTACTTATTCAAAGTACAGCAACAGCAACAGCAGAGAAACCCCAAACACATGAGCGCTGTGGCCCAGGCGTCATCAGGAGGCCGTGCACAGTTTGGATAGGTGGATTTGAGCTGAAACTGCACACAGGTTAAACTCCAGAGAAAGTGGGGTGCTTATAATGGCCCTTCAGGGAATTCAAGAGTAAAAACATCGTTGAGTGCACCACCTTATTGAGAAGGAAGAGGAGTTGCACAAAGCCATGTGCCCTGCTGCCGAGAACAGCCATTTGGGGCTGGCTTTAATCAATGTTCTAAGGAAGGCCGCTGGAAGAGGCCAATTTTTCTATTGTACAGATGTGGTGAGGATTATGTACTTAATGATATCCCACTGAAGGGTCCTCAGGTCTACAAAAGCATATATATATATATATATATATATATATATATATATATATATATATATTTCCTTGTATTTTACAACTGAATTGTAGTGAGTTGAATAATACTTCAAGCCAAATAAAATTGAAGTGTAACAAGTGAATCAATTCTTTCAACTTTGAATTTAGTGGTTTTTTTTTGTTGTTGTTGTTTTTTAAGATCCCTTAACAAACTTTGATGATACCACTCAGTGGTTGCCAAATCATCACATACGGTTCACAAACAAGAATGTTATGATCCAGGACAGCCAAGGCTACTACACAGAGAATACACAGAGAAACCCTGCCTCCAAAAAAAAAAAAAAAAGTTAAGATCTGGAAAGATTAGAAAATTTGTTCATGCCACAGAAGAACTTGGGGTTCCTTAAACATATATATACACACATACACACATATATATATGGCGTGTGTGTGTGTGTGTGTGTGTATGTGTGTGTGTGTGTGTGTGTGTGCACGTGCGCGTGCGCATGTGTACATGTCTGTGTAGCTGGTATACACGCCGGTGTGTGAGTGGAAAGTAGAGGAGTGTATTGGGTGACTGCTCTATCACTCTATCTTAGTCTTTTGAGATAGGGCCTCCTGCGACTGAACCTAGAGCCAAGATGGTAGCCATCAAGGCTCAGTGGTTCTTCTGTCTCTGATCTCCTCCGATGACTAATCTTGGTGTCAGCTTGACTACATCCAGAATTAACTAAAACCCAAGTGGCTGGGAGCACCTGGGAGGGACTTTCTTGATTGGGTGATTTGAGGAGGAAGACCCACCCTAAATCTGGGCACCCCTTCTTGTGGTAGCCTACAGAAAGGTCGTGTAAGAAGGAAGCACTTGCTTTTTGCTCCTTTGCCCTCATGCTCACTGGCAAATCCGTTTCTCTTGATACTGAACCAACACCAATCTTTACCTGGTGTTAGAACCCACTTCTTCAGGATTCCAGTGTGGACTGAAAACTGGCCACATGCGAGGACTTCTTTGGGAACTGCTGAGACACTCAGTCTCATGGACTGAACAAGTACGGGATCCTTCATGATGGCCATTGTTGGACTGCTCTGACATCAGCCGGTAAGCCACTGATTAAATTACAGATATATACATATATATGTGTGTTTTTTCTATCAGAAGTGCTCTTTTAGAGGAACCTAGATAATACACCCCCTCAGTACCGGGGTTACGGGAATGTGCGTGGAAAGCAGAGGTGAGTATTGGTTACGGGAGTGCTGGGGATCTGAACTCAGGACTCAGGCTTGCACAGCAGTCACTTTTACCCACTGAGTCCTCTCTGTAGCCCTTACCCTGAGCTTTGGATCCTCTTGCCTCATCTCCCAATTGCTGGGATTACAGACCTGCATCTGTTTGCCTGGTTGATATACAGGAGGGAACTGACTCCAGGGCTTTGTGCGTGCTGTGCAAACACTCTATCAGCTGAGCTACAACCCAGCTCTTGGGGAAGTATTCTAACTGATGACTCTTTTTTCTTTTGGGAACGATATATTTAGGGTTGTCCTATCTTCGACTCTGATAACCCTAGGAGACTCCTCCCCCAGCTTCATCTGTAACATGAACATTTTTTAACCTTCCTGAATCTTGACTCTGTGGATCGTCTTAGTACTCAAGAACTGTTTTTTGAGACAGGGTTTTACATGGTAGCCCAGGCTAGCCTGAAATTCACTGTGTAGTTCAGGGGGGCTTGGGTAACAATCTTCCTAACATTGCCTAAGCCTGTCAAGTGTTGAGTCCTCTCCTCCCTGAACTCAATACTGTTATTATTCTTATAGATTTTTGCTGTTTGTCAACTGCATTGTTTGCTCTGTCTTCAGTGGGTAAGAAAGTGTTGGTGGAAGGTCACAGGAAACTTGTATGCTCCCACTATGGTCTGTACTAGAGTTACTTACAATCTTGGCATTAGAGAAGTTGGTCATTTCATCAGCAGTATAATGTTATCAATTTACAAAGTATTCACTGACGGTTCTTAGAAGATACTGCTGATTGGCCTAAACTGGAGTCTGAGGCTTCCATGGCAGGTTCTCAGAAAGCCAGCGACTAGACTCTTCAACACCTCAGAGACCACTCCCCCCCATTTTTTCTTCCTGGTTTTCTGACTGCTATTGGCAATTTCTCACCTGCTTATACCATGCACATACCACACTACACATGCTACCTATTCAAAGTGGCTTTCTAGGATTTTAACATGTCCAACAGAAGCACACAGGGGTCTGGAGCTCAGCCTGAATCACTACCATCTTTCCTCCAGCCTCTCCCATCACACCACAGAGAGGCTGCAGGGCCAGAGAAAATACCCTCAACATTCCAGACACTAATTATCAAGAATTTAGTTTCAATTTCAGGTGAGGGAAGATACAGGGCAGGAGCCAGAGGCTGGGGTGAGATAAGGTATAGTAACTGAGAAGGTAGGCAGAAATGAGGAGAACAGTAGTTACTCAGGAAGAAGGTGCTGACTAGCCCTAGGAGAGGACCTGGGTGAAGCGAATCCTCAATTCCTAGGAAGGTAAGCTAGAAGCAGTGACTAACTGTGCCTGTCCCAAGACCTGGTGCTATCTACCACCCAGGGATTACTGGGACCCAAGAAGTCTAAACTGCTTAGGCTGCCTTGGACAGGATTGCAGTGATGTGGGGATTCACGGCCAGGCTATGCAGAATCAACCAAACTGCCTTGTACACCTAATGGAGAAGCTGTGAGGACCTCCTTGATGTCTACGTGTAAAGTGATGACTTTCTCAGTGGTCCCTGTGCACACTCTCTAGAACTGTCTTAGCAAACAGTTGGATGCTAGGCACATGCTTGTCTAGAGGTCCTGAAATCCCCCTCCATGGTCACCATATCTGAGTATGTTAAGTTAGGGTTTCAAGCCAGACCCCCCCCAACACACACACACACACACACACACACACACACACACACACACACACACACACACACACAAAGTTGGAGAGCAAAGGAAAAGGACAGAAGGAAACTCAGTAAGTAAGAAAGCAGCCCAAGTCTCTTAGGAGCGGCTGGTGGGGGACAGCAAGCCTCCACAGAGGAAAAGTAAAGACAAACTCTTTCTGGAATACTTGAGCCAAAGACTCTGGCAGTATGCAAAGAAACAGGAGGAGCCATGGGGGAACTTCCCAAGGATGTGGGGAATGAGGAGACGAGGCTTAGCCTGCAGGCATGTCAAGCAAGCTGCTGACCTTCTGTGACACCTCTTGCAGGCCTGAGATCTCCAGCTGAGTTTGAAGTAGTGGTGGCTGCAGGCTATGAGGCCCAATCCTTAGCTGAAGCAGAGACGGGAAGTGAAATCACCAATATTACATGAGAAAGTCAAGCAGAGACAGCGCCAGAGACCAGGAGGCACACTTCACTTCCCGGGGCACCGGGCAGCCCTGGAGACAACGCTGAAGGAACCAGACCTGACTGCAGGTGGGGCAACCGAAAGCAAAGGTATTTGAGAGAAAGGTCTGAGTCGTCATTGTGGGCCAGTGAGGGTGAGTCCGAATTCTGTTATTGTGTTGGAGGGAAATCCAGTGGCCGTGGGAGAAATTAAAACAGCTAGAGTGGGGTTACAAGACGGGGGCTGTACGAAGCTCCTGGTCAAGCAGCAGCAGCAGCAGGTGCAGGAGGGAACTCAGGATGCCAGCATCAGAAGGATGACTGACCTGGCAAGTGGGAATCCAGGTCCTCAGCAGAAGAACACAGTACTTGAGACTGGGCATGTAGCCTCATGGTAGAGCGGTTTCCCAACACGTGCAAGGCCCTAGGTTCAAACCTCAGTACTGAAAAACCAAAACAGTAGCAAAAAAGGAGCCAGGCTCTGGGGGGGATGCTGTAAGAGCAGGAGGATCCAAAGTGGAACAAAGGAACGAGTTTACAACCCTGGTGCTGGTGTGCATGGGGTGAAGGGTGGAGGTTGGGGCCTGGGGTAGACAGTCATAGCCCTGGGGCTCGTTGATCAGCCTGCCTAACCAATCAGTGAGCTCCAGATTCTTGAGAAACATTTTTTTTTTTTGGTTTTTCATGTCTTAGTTACTTTTATATTGCTGTGATAAACCACTGTGACCAAGGCAACTTACAAAACAAAGCATTTAATTTGGGGCTTATGGTTTCAGAGAGGTAGAGTCCATTATAGTGGAGCAAAGGAATAGTTGAGAGCTCACATCTTGATTCACAATCCACAAGGCGAAGAAAGAAAGACACTGGGAATGGCACAAGTCGTTTGGAACCTCAAAGCCCTCCCCCAGTGACACACCTTCTCCAACAAGGCCATACCTCCTAATCCTTCCCAAATAGTTCTACTAACTGGGGACCAAGTATTCAAACATATGAGCCTATGGGAGAAGTGTGGCCTTATGAGAGGAGGTGTGTCACTGGGGGTGGTCTTTGAGGTTTCAGAAGCCCACACCAGGCCCAGTCTCTCTCTCTCTCTCTCTTCCTGCCTCCAGCTTGTGGATCAGGTGTAAGATCTCAGCTACTGCTCTAGCACCATGCCTGCTGCCCTGCTTCCTGTTATGATGGTCATGGACTCTAACACTATTCCAACTATGAACAAGCCTCCAGTTAAATGCTTCCTTTAGTAAGTTGCCATGGCTATGGTGTCTCCTCACATTAATAGAACAGTGACTAAGGACCATGAAGAAGTCACTTGACATTGATCTTTGGCTGCCACACACATGAACATGCATACACACAGAAAGTATATGTAGGCATAGAAAATGCACACACACACACACACACACACACACACACACACACACACACACACATATAGAAAACAACCTGGTTCTTTTCCAAGGACCAGGCTGAGATGTTCTCTAGGAACCAAATCAAGAATAAATCCAGCCAGGTGGTGGTTCACCCCTTTAATCACAATACTTGGGAGGCAGAGGCAGGAGGATCTCTGAGTTCATGGCCAGCCTGGTATACAGAGAGAGTTCTAGGATAGCCAGGGCTACACAGAGAAACCCTGTCTTGAAAGACCACCACCACCAACAACAAAAGAAACCTATGAGGACAGCTTTGGGACTGCATGCTACTACAGGAAAACATTCAGTGTGAAAAGCCATTTTTTAATTAATTAATTTGTTTTACATCCTGTCCACAGTTTTCCCTCCCTTCTCTCCTCCCAAGTCCCCACTTCCCTGCCACTATCCCCTCTTCGACCCCCAAAAGAAGTCATCTTGAAATCTGGAGTAATGAAGTTGGTGGCATTTTCCTGGAGAGGATTGTTGGATGGAGGGAGGGTCATACTCCTGTGCAGACTTCACATTCTAGTAACTTCCTGGTCAGTCCTCAGTGTGCTATGATTGCCATCCTACTCCCCAGCCCCCCAGCCCCAAACAATACTGATTTAAAACTCTATTTTAAAACTCTTGAAACATTTGGGAACTTTTTTCAAAAGAGGCATGTACCAGTCGTTTCTCTAGTGGCATTTGAAGCTCTAAGACAATAAGAAAATTGACCTGACTCTAGTGAGCTCTTCTTCTCCTTCCTACTCTTTCGTACTCCAGGCTAGCCTCACTCACTATGCCTACTGTTTAGTCAAAGCCAAGAATGGCCTTGAACATTTGATCCTCTGCCTCCAGCTCCTGAGGAGCTGTCATGTCTGATTTAAGTGGTGCTGGAGATCAAACCCAGAGCATTTTGCACGCAAACATCCTACCAATGCAGCGGCATCTCCAGCCACTAAGTTTTTCTTAACGTGTGTCGTCCCCAGAGCGCCTCCTGTAACTATATCTTTATGCCCATTTTTAAGAGAACTAGAAATCATCTAGTAGTGTCTTTTATTTGGGAGAGGTGTGTGTTTGACGTTTGTGACAGACTAAAGCTGGACAAGTTATTTGTAAGACTGTGAACCTTCTCTGGGAGTTCATGTTTTCACAGTGCTCCTCTATAGGAAGGTGGAACCGATTTTGTATTTTCTAGAAATGGTTAGTGATAAAAAAAATCTTAAGATAATTTTCCATAGTTTTTTATTTTTATTTTTTTACTGATAAGTAAAATGAAACCAAGTAGAATTGGATTACAAAAAGAAGTTGGTCTACATGCCTTCAACCCTGAGCCCCTGCAGTGCCCACCACCCTGTTCCTCTGAACCGGCGTATGCTGTTTGCCACTCTGCCTCCTGTGCATGCTGCAGAACCACTGCCAGTGCCCACAATGTTCCCACATCGTCACTGTATGGTAGCAGCCCGGTTGCTGTGGAAGGGCCTTCGTGAATCCATAGATGGAGAGCTTACTTTACATGTTCAGAAGAAAATGGAAATCTGGCTATTCTTAATTCAAAGGCTGCTTTTAAAATGGAAAGTTGTTGGAATATTAGCTTAAGATGTGTTACGCTTGTTTATGCTGTAGAATATTTTTTAGTGATGCAAAGATATGCTGCATTCTTTTATGTTGCATTTGTTTAACTCTGTGAAGCTGTGTTACTGTGCCTGTCAAAGGCACCTGATTAGTCTAATAAAGAGCTGAACAGCCAATAGCAAGGCAAGAGAGATGATAGGCAGGACTGCCAGGCAGAGAGAATAAATAGGAGAAGAAATCTAGGCTTGAGAGAGAAAGTGGGAGGTTTGAAAAAAAAGAGGAGAGGAGGATGCCAGAGGCCAGCCACCCAGCCACCCAGCCACACAGCCACCCAGCCACCCAGCCACCCAGCCACCCAGCCACCCAGCCACCCAGCCACCCAGCCACACCCAGCCACCCAGCCACACAGCCACCCAGCCACCCAGCCACCCAGTCACCCAGCCACCCAGTCACATAGCCACCCAGCCACCCAGCCACACAGCCAGCCACAGAGTAAGAAGGAAAGAAAGATATATGGAATTAAGATAGGTAAAAAGCCCAGAGGTGAAATGTAGAAGAAGAAGGGTTAATTAGCTAAGTTAGAAAAGCTGGCTAGAAATAAGCCAAGCTAGGGCAGGGTATTCATATGCAAGAATAAGACTCCATGTATTTACTTGGGAGCTGGGTGGCTGGCCCCAAAGAGTTAAAAAGAAAAGTGTCCCATTTGTGGGAAGTGGAACGCAGGGTGCTTTGCAGAGAACAGTCATCAGGTCACAGCTGAGGAGCCTGCTCACGGAAGACTCTTAAGAAGCCTCTCCACACACCAGCCTGTGGGGTGATTCGAGGCCTCACAGCAGTTGTTTCTGAATCTAGACTTTGGGTCACTGGGATAGGAGATGGCTCAGTGTTCTTCACCATTTGGACACTTTCCAACTGGAAATGTGCGCAAATGCCCTTTAGACACACCAGAGAAGGTGGTGCTTCCTTCAAATCCAGTTCCTGTGAAATCTGTGTCAGCAGCATGCTTGCAGAGAACAGGTAGACTGGACTTTTGTTTCGTCTACACTCTGACTCACCGGATAATATTAGTTTTCTAGTTTATTTTAAAGAACTTTTTTTTCCCTTTGTGGTAGGATCAATAAAATTTTTAAAATTTAAGTTTAATTTTTAAATATTTTGAATTTATTTTCATATATATATACATATATATATACATGTATATATGTATATATAAACATATATATATGTATATATATGTATATATAAATATACATATATATACATGTATATATATGTATATATATATATAAACAGGGACTCATGTAGCACAGGCTGGCCTTCAGAGGACTACAATGTTGGCCTCCAACTCCCGATCCACCTGTCTCTGCCTCTGAGTGCTGGCATCCCAGGCATGTGCCCCACACCTGGCTGTGTTCTTCTGCCATTCTGTTAAGGAAGCTGATGACCCAGACATAGAGAGAGAATGAAATGATAGTGTTGATGTTTGGGCAGATCTTACCTTGCTGTGGAAGCGCTTTGATTCCAGACCTCCTGTAGGAGGAACTTAGCCCCAGTCCTTGAACAGCAGGTAGGCCTCCTGAGATGGAAAAGGAGCCTTTCAAATACACTAATGATTTGTCTATGAAATTAAAATGAATCAGCTGCTTAAGCTTTTATGAAATCTACAATATGCCTTTCACTTCTAGCTGTAATATTTTTGCGTGACATATGTACTTCATTAAACAATGTTTGTTGTCATTAAAAGAGAAATTTGGGGTAGGGAGAGGCGACAAACTGCAAAGAACGTGTTTATTGTGCTTTATAATGTTTCAAGACCGATGTATCTGTCCCGCGCGGGGAGAACAGGCCCATGCACTACGGGGCTACTCTGTTGCACAGAAGTTGTCACTGGGCCTGCAGAGCGTTCAGACCCTTGCTCAGGCTTTCCCAGGGAGCCCTGATTAGGAGGCCATGCTCTGGTGGTCAGTATGTGATAATAGTGCTCCCACCAACTCTTTCCAGGCAAACTGTGTTTTATTAAACCCTGAACCATGAGACCAGCTCCCTATGGGAAGAAAGAGAGATTTACCTACCCTATAATTTCTCCCCCACCAATTTATCACCGTACTAGAAATGGCCAGTATTCATTCTAGGATTGACCAGCATTCACTGCTGTTTCTTTGGTTTAAGGCTGTGTCCGGAAGGTCCCTATTAAAATGCAAATATGTTACTTAGAAGGAGCTATTCATCAATCCGTTCCCACCTCAGCAAGGATTAGTTTATCAGATCAGGGAGGAAAAAGAATAAGGCCTCCAGGAACGGGAGATAGGAGGTCTGTTTTGATTGGAAAGGGGGCTCAGACAGGTCTTTTCAGCAGGTCCTTTGCAGGAGTGCCTGGCTGGCTGCCTCTGCTGGTGCTTTAAATGCTCTAAGTGTATAGCCGCAGAATTCAAATCTACTCTAACTGCCCACCTTGGCTCTTATCTTTCCCTGCCACTGTTTCCTGCCTTTCCTAGAGAGATGACCCCTCCCTTGGAATTCTTTCATTAGCCAGCTACCTTCCATTCATTAATGAAATCTTATCTGTGTTCTTGATAGTCTTCTATTTGTTGTTGGTGATTTTTTTTAATTTTAATTTTTATTAATTTTAAAATTAAAATACAATTATAATACTTGCCCCCTCCCTGCCTCCCTCCAACCCCTCCCATGTCCCCCTCCTCATTCTGTCTCAAATTGGTGGCATCTTTTTTCTAAACTATTATTTCTGCTACATATGTGCACACAGAAATATATAAATACACCCTGCTGAGTTTTTGGGTATCACTTGGATGATATATATGATTTCAGGACTGACCACTTTGTATTGGATAAGCAATTATGAGACTCATTCCTGGAGAGGCTAACCTTCCTTCTCTCAACAGTCATTGGGTGCCTGTAGTTCTCTGCCTAGGGTTGGGACCCATGCGATTTCTTCCTTCTGCGTTAGCCTGCCTATTGGTATTATCACTGTTCAGGTCTTGTTTAGGCAGCCATATGGTTGAGATTTCATGGATCTCATGAAATCTCATGCCATTTCCAGGAGACACAGTCGCACAGCTGACTTCTTGGTCCTGTGGCTCACTCAGTCTTTCTGCCCAATACTCCCTGAATCTTTGGGGCAGGAACTGTGGCTGTGTTGTTGGGACTGGGCTCCACACTGTTGGCTTCTGCCTTATCACCTGTTATGGTTCCTGTAGTGCTCTGCATTTGTCCTAGACAGGATTCTTCCACGACGGGGGAGAGCTACGCTTGTGGG